GACTTGTTGGCCCGCCATGTCTTCGCCTAGGGAATGTGAGGAACAAGAATCACTCTCACTATCAAAGATAGCACCAAAACCTCTTCCTTCTTCTTGATAGAGTCTGCAGACTTGTCTCAAGGTGCGGTCGATTTCGTGATCAATGTTGTGAGTAGGAAGTCCTTGAGATCTTCTTTGCATTCACCAAAGCTAAGCAAACAATTACCAATGACTAGCAAGTGTAAAAAGAACAAAATAAAAAGCAACAAATCCACTAATAACGCAAATAAATGTGCAAAACTAGCCGTCTCCCCGGCAACGGCGCCAAAATTTTGATCGATGGACAATAGGTCGTTAATTTACTATCCTAGATCAAAATTACAATTTATATCTCCTATCCTAACTCTATCAATTTTACTTTAGATAGAGGTAAGGTAGGGTCGATTCCCAAGGAAACGGGGGTTTAGCACAATTAATACGAAATCAAGGATAAATTGCTAGTAACAAAAAGGGTATTGAGATTTGTGTTTGAAAAATCCTATGGACAAACCAACTACTATTGAGCCTAGAATAAACTAAAAACAAAGGAAATAGATTAAACACTCTTGAATGCAAATCAAAGGACAAGATTAGAGAGATAACGATGATAAAAGCACTAGGGAGAGGGGGATTCAATCATGAACAAGGAATACTAATGAAAACCGATAAGGAACCGATTCTAGGAGTATAAACTCTACCTAAGATAGTTCATTCCCATGCAACTACTCAAGTAAGTCGATGAAATCATTCACACCTAGATTAAATCATTCTCATGCATTCAATCAAGGGCTAGACTCTTGGGATTAGAGGTGCACACACTAACTCCAAGCATATATTATAGCTCAAATCATCAACTCAAGAATAAATCCCAATCAATAATCAATAGATAGTCAAATACACATGATTTTCACCCCCTTCCCTAGCTAAAAACCTAAGCTAGAAAGAAGGGAATAGCCATAACAACTAACATAAGCATATATTCAATATCAACACAACCTAACATGATTCTAACTTGAAAGGAAATCAAAGAAACTAATAAAGCTTGAATATTTATGAAAGTAAACTCAAGTAAGAACAATAAAACAAAGAAGATCAAAAACTAGAGAAACAAAAGTAAAGATTGATATTATAAAGATGAAAGATTACCAAATCATCAAGGTAGTAGCAACAATCTAGCAGAAAGCTTGAATATTTGATTACAAAGATTGATTCTTGAAGAATAGTGTTTTCTCTCTCTAGAAGCGATGGAAATTCTCTCTCTACAAATGATTTTAAGCCAATGGAATAGTGAATTAGTGAAAAACTCAAGCTAAAGACTATTTATAGTCTTCTACCAAAATGAAGAAAAAGGGCAAGGGATGCGGGCTCTCCGAACAGGTTGTCGCGCCCTCTCCAAGCTGGGTAAATAGCCTCGTCAAACCCAGAATGCCGCGCCCGCGGGTCTTCTCTGCCGCGCCCGCGAGTCCTCTCTGCCGCGCCCGCGGCCCCTATGCTCCGCGCCCGCGGCTCGCCATCTCCACTTTCTCTTGCTGGCTTCAGGGTTTTCCTGTCCGCGCCCGCGGCCATTCTGAACAGCGCGCCCTCTCCATTTTGGCATCTCCACTCCCTTGGCAAGCTCCTTTGGCATCTCTACTCAAGCTATTAATTCATAATTCGCACACGAGCGTTGGGAGCTATCAAAACACACAAAAAGGAGGTAAAAACTAAAAGAAAAGACAAAAGGGAAGGGAAAATACGAGAAGGAGCTAAAGTGACTAAAATTGAGATAAAAGGGGTGAAAAGAGGCATAAACAAGTGACAAATCCGGGGGAAATCTGTAGTGAAAAAGGTTAAAATGGTGGCATAAATGCCACACATCAGTAATCCTCTATCCAATCTAGCAGCCTTGAAAGTTGCTTGCGAAAGGCCTCTACTCCAAGTATATTCCGGACGACCTAAGCACCTTAAGTCAATAAGGTGATTTGAATGTACCCAATTTGAAAACTCCTTACATCGACACATCTCTGAACCTCCATTCCCAATTCTCTCAGACATGCTCATGGTATCATTAAAGTCTCCTGCTAACAGCCAAGGTCCTGTGTAAGACCGTCCTATGTTTTCTAATTCCCTCCATAAGTCACGTCGTAAGATGACTCCGAACTTGCAAAAATAGCAGAGAACATCCAAGGGTCTTCATCCTTCTTTTTTATCTCAACTGTGACATGTTGAGTGTTATTGTCAAGCACATTAACCTCATCAATTCGGACCTCCAAAAGAGCCAAATCCCTCTACTAAAAAACCCTTAGCATCAACACGAAATTGACCAGAAAAAACCAATACAATCACAAATTTTCTGAGCTTGATCACCACTAATATCAGTCTCAACCAAAGCCAACACTGTCGGGTCATTAATTCTTATCAGCTTGCGAATCGCAGCTAATTTATTACCTATTCCTTGAACATTCCAAATCATGATTTTTGATGACATATTAAAATTCGGAAAATTGGGGAACCTATCATACATGTTTAAAGGAACGTCAGGCATTGTCTTGAGAAAAATGTCTCTCAACGCCTTCATTGGACCACCTACCTCCATCAGAATTGCTACTGTCATTAACATATCCAAGGGGGAATGCGCTGGTGGCAAGAACGAATTCACTTGGATCTCCGCTTTGTTCGCTACGGGATGCACTATTACCAAAGTTGGACCATCCATCGAATAGTCCACCAGAGCTCAGTAAGATGGGGGAATTTTTGTCACCAGGGTGATCGAAGGTTTGAGGGGATTCATCACAACTCTCAGTAGGGTTCACCGTAGCCTTGAGAGCGGATGGGGTATGAGTAGCAATTGAAAATTGTAAACCCGTACCCTTACTGTGAGAATCTTTTCGTATATCAGGAGGAGTAAGGTTGTCTTTTCCTACCAAATTTACAACTTCTGGATTTATATTTTCCTTATTTGCTCTGGAATTCAAAGGCCCATTAGGAAAGAAAGCCACGTTTGAATTAATCAAACTTCCCATACCAATATCACAACTTTCCTTTTTATGATCACCCTTCTTGCCTTTAATGATGTTGTCTATCTTTTGAAGAGATTGGCCCAAATCAATTGGTGATCCTTCTAAGAAATCCATCTCCATCTCTTTTGATAAATTATTCCTCAAAGAATTATCTTTTCCATCCATAAAATTATCCTCTCCTAAATTAATGGCATCCTCCAGCTCATGACTGTTATCCAAAGTCAAAGAATTGATCTCGCCTTCCTTATTCACCACTGTATTATTCCGTTCAAAGATTTCTTCTAAACTTACCATATTTTTATCTTGATTCAAAATTTGAAATCGAGACCTACTTGAACCAGAACCAACCATCGCACCATTAGCTTTTTGGTTCGCATCCTTTTTATTCTGATTCTTAGTCTTATGATTAGATTTATCCAAATTTGACGGACCATTCTCCTTAGGCTTCGGATCTTCAGCAGCTTTCTTGACTCCTTCCCCTTTATTTTTTAGCGACATATTTTCGGTTGTTCCTCTGGACAAGCATCTATGAACCATATTGGTCACAACCTTCTGGCCTTGATTGATTCTGTTGCACTGAGCTAGCCTCTCCAACCTTAACAACTCTCCTTTCACCATTATCATCTACTATTTTCTCCATCGAACAATCATTGTCCTTGTGGCCTAGCTTACCACATTTAAAGCAAATTTGCTTTAGCCCTTCATATTGGATCCTTCCACACTCTCCCATTTAGCCTAAATTTAGGTAGTAAAGGTTTTGACAGGTCAACCTCAATGCTGAATCGCACAAACTGACCCCTACTCATGGACTATTTGTTCTTGTCAATGCTTATAACCCTGCCTATCTTGGATCCTATTCTGTGGAGAAACTTCTTATCAAAGTACTCCACCGATAGTTGTGGAATTCTTACCCACGCTATCAACAATTTAATGGGGGCTTCATCAGCTACAAAATTTAGCACCCATTTTAATAGTTAAATAACTATCGATAATAATCCAAGGACCATGAGTGAGGACATAGTGATAATCTTCCATAATTGTGAAACGAACCACATAATATGCAAAACCCACATCTGTTAATGTGATATCTCCTTTCAGTGACCATTTCAATCTCAGACGCTTAATAAAAACCTCATAGCTGAGTTTTCTATCAAATAGCTTGATGATTAAAGCTTTCTACCATGGCAACCTCACGCCTCTTCTCTTCCTTAGTTAACAGAAAGTTTGGACAAGATTCATCATCTGATTCACATTCCAATGGAATATCATCATCCGACTCCCATTCTATATCCAAATTCACATGATTGGAACCCAGCAGGCCAACACCATTTGTTCCTCTCGCCATATGACTATATGACATTTTCGGATTAGGGGGAGGATCCACAGGGGGATCCTCTTCAATTCTCTGCACCATCTCTGTGTCAATCCCATAACCAGGTTGATTAGGAATTCCTTGAGGAGAATTCTATAGAGAATTATCAGGAGTGCGTTTGAATATCTTATTTGACCTTCAAATTTGGTCGGTTTTTTCACTCTACAGTTCGCTCGCTCTCCATTTTTATTATAATTACTAAGCTAATTGTCGGCAATTGTTGAAGTACTTTCTTTCGTATAATACAAGATTACTAAAGATAATTAAAAAAAATTTGTAATTTACCAAAGAAAAAAAAAATTAGTTTTACCAAAGAAAATTTCCTAAGTTCTTTTGCCGATATTAGTAAAAACATAGGCACGCATTATTGGATTTATCTTTATATATACTTTCAACACATTAAATTTTTTTTTAATTTTACTTCAATATAATCAAATATATTAATAATATTTAATATTTTTCAACAAAAATAATTATACTAATGCCACAATTAAAAAATTTTGAGCAAGTATAAGGGCTACTTTTTTTTCCTTTTTCTTTCGAGAGGGGCATGATCAATTCGTAAAGTTCGACCGTCAATTGGCAAAATTTGAAACTACCACACGACACCAGAGACAATATTAACCTATATAAAATACAAATAAGTACTTCAAAAAATATAAAACAATATGTGACTACAAGGTCAGTTTTTATCTTAAAGATTAATCATAATAAAGTGTTCTACATTACGTATCTCATCAGAAAGAGAATTGTGCTCCCATGTAAACATATCTAATTCCTATAGCTTCCAAAAGTAGAAGTGAATGTTGTAGAGCCCTAATCTAAGAAAACTCTCTTCGCCTTGCCCCATATCAATCCATTCCATCCAATTGAATAAGCCGTCGTATAATCATGTCCAAGGCTATCACTGAGAGCAACCTATATCCAATTCACCGACGTCCCTGCCTTAATAAACTCATCCATTACAGTGGCTGCTGAACGAAGGACAAAAATGCTAATGTAGACGAACATATTCATGTTTACAATAGCAGTGTATCTTCCTAACAATGAGTGTATTATGATACTTTGGACGTTGATCATTTAATCTTATTTACAAATACATCAGTACACTACCTGAGTCCCATCTTTATAGGTCAAATTGCAAGACTTTGGCAGGAAGGGATGAATTTAAGCTCGTAAATTTCCAGCCAAAAGACACCGAACATTACGTCCTATAAATGAGGTGTCCTGTAATGGGTCATCCTCATCGCAAAACTTGACCATCAAACATGTTTCAAAATTTGCCATCTTTTAACCCAGAAGAAAAACAAGGGTGAGAAGGCCATACCAGTAACAAAAAATTGGCTTCTAATAACTTAGCTCCATATGATGCAGTATTTCGCAGGGACATCGGACATATTCAAGTTACACATCTATGTTCCTTTGCCATATTTTTTATTGCTTTTTTTCATGAACATTGACAAATGGTCAATATCTCCCCCGAATGAAGGGGTATCACCCATCAACCACTTTACGGCCTCTGCAGCAGCATCTTTTTCTGCTTGCTTCTTATTGTTACAAGGTTGGCCAACAAACTCCAAGCCATTGAAATCTACAGTAGCGCGAAATTGGTTGTTTTTCAGTTGTCTCGTCTTATAAGCAGGTGCTTCATGTCCTGCCCTTGCAAGCAAAGTTTGCAATTGATTTTTGGAATTATCATCCCCGCTTTTTTTATCACCACGAACACTTGTCGCTTTACCTCCCTTTTTTGATGGTGCTGGCAATTGACGACCAAAGACAAATCTACCCTCACATTGATCTTCTGATATCAATAATCTTATTGCAGATAAAAGATCCACATATCTACATATGTCCAACTTGGGCTCCAAGAGCTGAATTACACAACAAAATGATTAGCAAAACTATGACAAAAAAAAAAAAGAGCACTCTAGTGTGAAAAATCAAGCCAGAATGATACCATAATCTAAATTAGTAAAATCAAGTAAGCATTGTTCACCTTGTAATAAATTAGCTCCTCAAGTTCTCTTTTCAAGCACAGGTAGATGTCTGCTAAGCCAGGTTTCATAAAGAACTCTAAGTATCCTCCCAGCATTTTTAGGTGTCCATCCTATAGAAAAGCGCAAAAATAGACAGAACCCTAAATCTCTGCACCTCGAAAACAAGATAAAAGAAAGAAACCCAAAAATTAAAAATAAAACAAAAAATTACCAGTGCACCCCTAGAAATGTCTCCTCCAAACAGTAACAACACGGAATCTGAAACTGCTGTTGAATCCCTCAGGAAAACAGAATTGACCTTTATCTTCTCATTGAAGACTAGCCATGGATATGATATTTTTGGCTCTTGCGCATTCACTGAATTCTGTGGGAGGAAATAAATAAAATGTTAACAGGGCCTGCACGTCCAACTTCAGCACTCAAGCATTTGCACTTGAAAGTTCTTACCGAATACAAAAGAACCTGTCCATCTTCCATTGTTTTCAGCATTATTGATCTCTCTTTATTCTGCATGGGTATAACAAAGTTCAGCTCCTACTATTGGTAAAACTATACACCACAAAACATCTTTCCTTATTTTTAAAAAACTATTCAACATAAGTTCCACAAGTCACAGAGCACAAAAAGTTTTTGTGAAAAGGCAATTACTAGTTGCGGAAAAATATACTGTTAGTTCTGAACAAGCTACTTACAACAACGGAACAAACACCAGGGAAAAGACCAGCACAGATGATTGCTCGAACAAGATGCTCGTCATGGCTCCACTTATTTTGACTTTCATTATCAAGCTCAACAAGACCTGTATCTTTAAGTAATGAAAAGAACTGCTTCCGTAGGGAATCAATAGCTTTCAATGTCTGGGCAGACAAAAAATTTCTCCAACAGTATTCATAACCAGATTGTTGTTTTTCAGCATCTTTCCATCCTTCATAAGCTCGAATAAGGGCAATATGGTCACTGAATCCACGACCGGAGAACTGAGCCTTAGCTGACTCAGCGAGCTGTGTAAAACAAGCAATAACTATGAATTTCAATCCAATGCATGGTTTAGCAATAAGCTATTTGGGCAAAAGCAACTCAATGTCACATTACCCTTCTATTTCTACTGTCAAATAATGTTCAGGGTATGAAGATCAAGTTGAAAAATAAAAGGTATAAAAATGAAAAAATTAGTAAACAATAAGCTTCACAAATACTACCTAGCCCAACAGTTAAACACCTCCTTAATTCTCGGAGGCGCCAGGTGAACATCCTATTTCAAACCACCCCTTAAATGTCTTTTTTTGAGATTTGAATGTCAATTTTCTAATATTTTGCAGATATTTTACAATTGCCTTTGATAAGTTTCTGAAGTCAGGTCTAGGAATTTGAGCGTCACTTTTCAGGGATATCAGTTTAACAGGTATCATTTTTCATATATATTTAAAATAGGTATCGTTTTCCAAGGGGTCAGTAAACGTTTTACTGGTGTCATTTTTCAAAAAAAATTATGCAAGTTTTACTAGTGTCACGTTTAATAGATCTGTGTCAATTTAACAAGTGTTTATGCCATTTTTAACCGATTTGCACCATCCTTATGGTTCATTTTTATTGATTATAGTTGATTTCATTAACTTATTAATACTTCCACTTTATTTCATTTTTGGCAAATGCTATTTTACAAATATACCATCATTGGACTTTGGACTCACCACACTTATCCACTTGCAATATTTTCATTTTGGGGGCCTGACCACATCTGACGATATTTTAATGGCTACCTATGTTGTTTGGTTATAGTAAGTGTTAACATCTTTATGAAAAGGAAGTAGTATATGTTAAGGCTGTTTGGGTTTAGACAATTTCTAAAGGATATTTTGAATGAAAAAAGAATTACATGTCAATGTATACACGCAAACCATTGCAAATTAGTACACCACCATTCATTTCCTTACTGCCAGTCCATACTTTAAAGGTCCAGACTCCAGACAGTAGGGACCTTTATAACAAGGCTCCTAGAGGGCCTCAATCTCTCATTAGCTAAGAAATACTAAACACAATGATAGTACAGCATCGCCATAAGTAACAGTTTCCATGTGACATATATGATGGCATGACTACAACACTAACATCTAAGATGCCTCTATAATGTATGAAAATAACCCATTCATTTCAGCACAAGTTGCTGCATAACATTTTTTACTCAAGTATGGTGAAATTTTGAAATACAAACAGAATAAGAAACTTTAAAAAAAAAAACGCCCCATTCATTGATAACTTACATCCTTCTTGTCAAATGGCATCATGAAGGGGTCTCTAACACTTAAACCAGCAACAACAGTCATTACGGGGTCCAAGCATTTGAACATAGCCCCCAATATTAGCATCTTCCCAAGCTTGGGCTCCACAGGAAGCACAGACAAGTTCTGACCTGCATGGTAACAATAGTTATACAGTTTTGTGGTGCAAGATCTCTAACCACAACTCATGATAAAATCTTAGGCTGGCTGGTTGTTTCTGATGATGAAAAGAGCAAAGAGGAATAAGAACCAATAGTATGCAACAAAGATTTTCTTAACTACTTACCAAGCACAGTAAGATTTTCGTTTTCGTCCAAAGCTCCAATGATTTTCAAAAAATCAACAGCATTTTGAACCTATAATAAAAACCGAAACAACTATCATGTAATTTACTTCAATTGCATCAAACGAAGACCTCCAATACCATATAGAAACTATTAATGACATTGCCAAAAGAAGAGTTTTTATATGCAAAACATGCGTGCACTGTTCAGAAACAAGATACAAATCACCAAGATGATCAGTTAATGTGGGAAACCAAGAATAATACCGATAATGGCTCAGGTGGTTGCAAAGCCTTCGACAGAAACTCAGAAATACCACCAAGATCTAAGCTTTTTATCTGAAGACAGAGGGACTGTAGGGGTGTCCTCAAAAGTTCTGGCAATTGATAATCACTGAAAGCATCGTAGACACATTTGGGGTAAAGATGGTAACACTCCCCGGATTGAACACGACCAGCTCTACCTCTTCTCTACAGTTAGTGAAAAGAATTAGTATTTGAATAGAAATTAAAAAATGTGAGAACTAGACATTAGTTTAAGAAATTGTAATCAGAACAAAAAGTATAATATAGCACACAATAAGCATAAAAGAAAATTTTAACAAGAAAACTGTTTTTTTTTTTTTTGGGGGGGGGGGGGGGGGGGAAGAGGTGATTAATCAGCAAGCCATAAAATTTTGAGTTTAGTAATAAGTGACAGATGCATGCATCAGTCTGGTTTCAGATTAAGTCATATTCACTATTCGTTTCAGATTTGAGTAATATGGGAAATCATGTATTTTGATGACAAATGATATAAACCTATTGCATGCCCCTTAGTTGATACTCTCTAAACAAGTTTCATTTTTACACACATTAACGTGCTACAGGTGTTCTAATGCCTACCTAGCTTATAAGATCAGCATGTGTACTATAAACTTGGAAGCCATGAAAACAATTTGACTATATATGCAGTAATATCAAAATCTTCAGTTGCTACTACAAAAAATCTGCAAACAATTGAATTTGGAAGTTGTTTCTCCTGTCATAGCTAGACCCCTACACTTTTCATCTTTTGCCTCATACTCCTCTCCTTCAAAAATAAATCCTTCAAAAAATCCAAAACAGCTGAAAATTCTTCAACAAACTCTCGAGCTTTAACCCACTGAAGATATCCAAACTTACACCCATTAAAGAAATTGATTTTACAAGAAAGACGACAAATCATCGTTATGCACATCACAAGGGCTAATCATCAACATCATCAGCCATAACATACAATCAACACAGTAATCAAGCACTTCTTATGTTCTATTATTTTAATTATCATATTCCAAGGGAATATAAGTGACATTCAATCTAGAAAAAAAAAAAAGTAAAGTTAGAAAAAACACTATATTAACCATACAAAAGCCCATGGAGCTATTATTCCAACAAGGATACAAAATTTCACCCTTTATAGAACTTAATACTTCCTCCGATCTTTATACTTCCTTGCTTTTTATTAGTCGACACAGATTCCTTTTAGGAAGTTTTTTTCAGTTGACATTTCTATTGTAGGTATTAAGTGTTAAATTGTCAATTATACCCATGAAAGTCTTCTTCTCACTCCTCTCTTCTCTCTCCTGCCTTCACCCATAAACCCATAACAGAACCTTCATCATCATCTCCCCCATTCTAAAATTTCAAAAGATGACCACCCATCTTCCATTACCGCCACCACCACCACCACCTTGTCCACATATCCCATTTTCATTCTCTTCCACGGCCACCCCCACCTTCTCTCCTATTCATCGCCACCACCACCGCAGCCTCCACCTCTTTCTTTCTCCTTTTCATCGCCACTGCCACCTACACTCTCCTCCATTCTTCGCTAATTGCATACCACAACCACCCAGCGAATTTTAACATAAGTGAGACCATGGTGGTTGGATTTGGCCGAAGATTCCAAACCTAAAACTACCATAACTAAATTCGACTTCCATGATGCACAACAGTGGTTAGTGGATGATGAATTTTTTTCTCTTCTTCTATTTAATCTATGTCGACTTGGAAGTGAGCATGACTTTATGAGTTGAATCCTTCAATTTTTTAAAAAGAAAAAAAAAATTAAATAATTATTTAAGATCTAACAATTTTTCCTGTAAACTTTTAGTAGTCATAATGAGTTTAGTGCTGAGTTGCCATGTCAAAGTGTGAAGGAGAAGGAGAATGGGTTTGTTGGTTAATGGGAGGGTATTACTATCTTTTGCTTACATTTACTACATTTCCTTAATTTGTGTGCCAAACCAAATGGTGCCAACTAAAAAAACAAAGAAAGTATATTACAACAATTGCCTTTTAAGGATGTTTCACATTACTTACAACAATGGCCTTTTTAAAATGTTTCACAATAATTACAAAAATTCTCTATTTGGAAACATTTCACCCGTGAAGTAATTACATTTCTCTAGTCTTTTTTCTTTTCTCACTCCTCCTTCCACACAATCACATGGGTAACATTGGACCACCCTTACTTTTTCTCTTTCTCAATCTTTGTGCCCAACCCAATTGTTGCAATATACTTCCTCCGTTCTCTTTTAAATACAACATTTTGACTTTACATTATTCATATACTCTACTTTGACTAGCTTTGTTGATTTATGGTTAAGAAAAAATATAGTCATGTGGGATCTTGTTAGATTCGTCTCGCTTCATAGTTTATTAATATCAAATTTTAAAAAAGTTTCCATATTAGTAATAAAAGATATTAATGATTGAAATAACGCATTGGCAACTGTGAAATGAGAATTGTTGCATTTAAAAGAGAACAGAGGAAGATCAATTAATAATCACTTCAAGCAGAGGGACCCACCAAATTTTCAAAATTGTCAAAAATAAACAATCGCCCAAAAGTACATAATTTTCCAGCATGATACATAACCCAACTCCGTGAATAAAGTATCCCTACAAAGATTTAAATCTTAATGCCGTCAAAATTAGATGTATCATGTATAGAAAGATAAATAACATAAATATTCTGCAAATCAGGATCAGATGTATCATGTATAATCTTACAGCATCTAAAGTATTTGTGGGAAACTGAAAACAAAGATATAGCCACCTCCCCCATCACCATAATGTTCAATCTTTCATTTGTCTCCGACACTCACTACATAAAACATATGTCCCATTCCCATGCCCTCTATAGTCCACTGTAAATTCACTTTAATGATGTAAAAACAGTTTACCACCAAGTTTTCTCATCAAATAAAGCAATATTAATGCAGTCTCATTTATAGATCAAGAAGTAGGCAGCGATAACGATAACAGTAATGAAAAACCTTTAGAAAGAGTAGAAAGAACTAAACAATTAGTATGGTTGACCATATTAACATCAGACTTTAGTTTTTACCTGCCGAGCAGCAGCTTTTGAGATCCAGGTTGGTAGCAAGCAGGGAGTGTTATTTAGTGCATCATATGATGTCTCTTTTGCCTTACCACAGTCGACAACGAAGACCACATCATTTATGGTGATACTAGTCTCTGCCATGTTTGTCGCAAGTACTATTTTCCTCACTCCTTCTGGTGGCCTATCAAATATCAACCTCTGCATCCAAAATAATTGAATAACACATTAGTGTGACCACAATGTACAAATAAGGCTCAAAACAAATATAAGACGGATGATAAAAGTTAGATCCAAAACCATTTAAATGAATTCAATCATTTTATAATGAACTTCCAAGATGGAATAAATACATGGTTACATACGAAGAGCCTTAGGTTAGGCTGATTGACTTGATGTAGAGAACTCACACATCTTTAGGACAACTTGTTCATATGTGTTAGTGAAGTTTTAATTTTGGAAACTTGGCTTGTCTTTTCTTGTGTCCAGTGCCATTTAAGAATTTCATTTAATAAAAAAAAGCATGCTCTTTAAGCTTCAATGCTGCTAGCATGGAGCTGTATTGTATTTAAAATCTTTTGGATTATGGTTAGATGTTATCCTAGGTCCAAATCTAGGATACTATCTTTAAATTGCTTTCAAGTGATAGTTTGTGTTTTGACCCCAAGTTTTTGGGAGCACTTGCTCTCTGTTTTTCTTAGTTTGGGGTGATTTATATTTAGTTAATTTAATTTGGATTATGTCATTAAGGCCTTAGGAGTTTGTTAGTCGGCCATGATTTTTTTTTTTTAAGATATTGTTTTAGTTCTCGAAGCGCTTGATACAAGGGCAGAAACGACCTTGAAGATCAAGGAAAAAATATGGCTTATAATATGTTTTTGGAAATGCCAGGACGTCAGCTAATCAATGCAAGTCGTTTGAAAAATTGGAGTTCATTTGGTCAGTCAACAAAGGCTAAGACCAAAAACCACACAAAACTGGCAAGAAGGTCAGTTAGCTAGTTTCCTAATCTAAGTAGAATTAGTATTCCTATTCTACTTAGTTAGGAGCTACGAGCAAGGGGTAAAACCTAGAGACTTGTCCTAGAATTAGTCTTAGGTTTATGATTTTGTATTTCGTGGCTTATGAAGACACAGATACTTCAGATTAATAAATGTTTGAGTTTAAAGCTTTATTGCCTGTTCATATTGCTTATTCATTAATTACAGGAATGCTTTTAAGGTTAAGATCATTAAACACTTAGTGTCTAGGAGTAGTTAAGAGTTTAATCTCAAAATAATTAGCTTCCAGGAGTGCTTTAATTAGATTAAGGATTCGAATCATAACTTTAGGAGTGGATTTGTGAGCAAAAATATCAGTTCGATTCGTTCAATCTTCAAGAAACTTATCAAGATTGAATCTTTGTTTCAAGTTTTTTAGAAAAAACTTGAATTCAAGGGGTTAGGATCTACATCATAGCTTCAACAAACGCTGCAAGTAATCACAACCTTGTCTTCCATCATTTCTAAAGGGCCATTTTGTGTTGGCTCCTAATACTAATAACAATGGGCATAGTCATCATTGTCATATACATCTTTGGAGGAAAAAGATGAAATTCCCTATTGCATTGAAAGTTCTAGGTTGTTATTCCTATATGGTGGACTTCCAAATCTCTCCGTGAGATTTATAGTCAGCCGTAGAGGTAGAGCACTCCATCAAGCTGGCAGGATTTCAAATAAACAAACCTCTTTTTATTTTTCTTTTTTTTTTTTTTTTTTATGTTTAAGATTGGTTGTTCTGTAGGTAAGAATTCTGTGTAGAAACAAGGATTCTTCATATACTAGGACCGCAATGATGACAACTCTGACCCCAATTTCAGCTGTGACATTTGCACTATATATTCAACTTTGATCATTATTTTTACTAAAATACTCCCCCAGGCCCCAGCTGGTTCAATTTAGTGTTATTAATCATGTGGTAAAATACACAATAATCTAACAAGATCCCACATCAACACAACCTTAATATGGAGTACATAATATCAGCATAAAACACTATGTAAGGTTTATGTGACACTTGAATATCACATCATTAGCCTCCCTAAAAAATTTAAAACCAAAAAAAAAAAAAAAAACGCCAAAAAGCCAAAGCCCAAAGTACAAACAGTACAAAGTAACTGAAACATGGTTAATTTTTTTTTAAAGGATGTTTATCTATTGGTTTAGCTAGAAATCAACACAGTTACTATAATATCAATTCAAAAAAATTATATAATATCACTTTGAAAACAATATCAATATATCCATACACAAAGTAATATTTACAAAATTGATGATTATTACTAATCAAATACAAATTATTTCGTACATTATTAGATTTTTGACCATAGGTATTTTCTATTATTTGTTCCACTTAATATTTTTTGAAGCTATGAAATGTATTAAACTTGATTAGCAAATGGCATGTATTAGATACCCGTATATTTCAAAGGTAATGAAATTGTAATATACTCATATTTAACTTTATTTTACATAGTACAAACTCTCTTCTGTTACTACACATCAAGGGGTAAAAAAACTTTAATCGAGGATCAGATCATCAAACTCAAGTTGATTGATGGTCATCTCAACTCATTTACATAATCCAAATGTTTGCGGTGATGCAATAGTGTCAAATTTAATAGGAAAAATACACTTTAATAATCCCAACTTTCCTTAATTTACTCAAAATAATCCCAACTTTATTATTCTGTAATAATCTCAACTTTCACCTGCGTTTTCTTTCTTCAATCCGGATTACCGGTTACCTGAAGAAAGGATTAAATTTTTTTTAAAACAAATTATTTGACACGTGTCGTATTCTAATTGGTTCAAAAAAAATTAAAAAAACAAAAAAAAAAAGGAAAAACACAAAAAGAAAAAAACCAAAGACCACCAGCCACCCAACGCTCGTGGCCGACCTTCCCTAACCGGCAAGCCCCACCCCCAAAACCACCTTCTTTGATCCCCCAACCCCACTTTTCCGACCTACCGGAAATCCTCCCCGCACCAGAAACCCACCTGTCACTCCCTTTGTTTGCGTTTTATGGCAATTAGAGAGAGAATGGAAGGGGCTACGTTTTTTATGGTATCAGGGGTGGGGGAGGTGATTTTGAGGGGTGGGGGTGGTGTTAAAGCTGGTTTCGGGGGTTGGGGAAGGGGATGGGGACAGTTTCAGGGACTGTTATAGGTGGTTGTGGGTTTTATGGGTGGCGGTTTCGAGGATGGGGTTGTGGCTATGGCTGGTTTACGGGGTGGGGGGAGGGAGAGGGGGCCAATTCTGCGGAGGTAGGGCGGTTTCAGGGGAGGTTTTGAGGGCTGGGGCTAGGATAGGGTGGTTTGGTTGGCTGTGGAGGGTACTCGCCACCACTAGTGGTTGTGGGCTGGTGGTGGCTGGTTTTGATATGTTTTTTCTTTTTTTCTAATTGATTTTTTCTTTAAATTTTTTCTTTATTTTTTGGACCACTTACGACTTGACACGTGCCAAGTGACCTATAATATTAGGTCATTGACATTTGTTGACCGCTTTGGGATTGTTAGAAGAAAATGCAGGCGAAAGTTGGAATTATTAAAGAATAATTGAAAGTTGGGATTATTTAAAGTAAATTGAGAAAAGTTGGATTATTAAAGTGTATTTTTCCAATTTAATATGACTACCTCCATTTCTTATTTAGTGCAACTTTTGCCATTTTGGGGTGTTTCAAGTAGAGTTGGCAATCCAAACCCGACCCGTGACCCGAAAATGACCCAAACCCGAACTTACCCAACCCAACCCGAAATTGAATTGACTAGAACGTGACCCGATGCCCAAAATGACTAGAACGTGACCCGATGCCCAAAATGACTAGAACGTGACCCAATGCCCAAATGACTCGACCCGGATGACTTGACCCGAAATTGACCTGAAACCCGAAATTGACCCGACCCGAAGTGCCCGAAACCCGAAATAACCAGACTCGATTTTAACCCGAATTGATTGACATTGACCTGAATCAACCCGACCCGAAGTGACCCAACCTGAAGTGACCCGACCTAAAGTGACCCGACCCGAAGTGACCCGATTCCTGAAGGCTGAAGTGAATAGGGTAAAATGGTGAATTACTTATTTTAGGGCTTCTTTCTTTCCTAAGTAATAGGTACTCATGATTTTTTTTTTAACGATTTTACTTAATTTTCCAACTAATTTTTTAAGTGAATTTATTTTGGTGACCCGACCCAAATTGACTCGACCCGAAAATGACCCGACCCGAAAATTGGTCCTAAAAATTGACCCAACCCGAACTGATCCAACCCGAATTTACTCGACCCAAACATAAACGACCCGAACTTAACCCGAACCGAATTTAACCCGAAGTGTTGCCCGAATTTGACCCGATACCCGAATTGACTCGATCTTACCTGAACCCGACCCGAAAATTTGTTGACCCGAAATTGACTCAACCCGAATTGACCCAACCAGAACCCGACCCGAACGACCCGTTTGCCAAGTCTAGTTTCAAGTTATGTCCAACAAAAATTTCTCTCCTTTTATAGTAAATTTTTTAGAGTAAATTACTTCATTACCCCTACTTCAAATTTCTATAACTCGATTAACCCATCAAAACAACAATATTAAGTTTTAAACTACCATAATTTAATTAATGATTCCATCTAATATACCCCTAAATAAATACATTCACCCAACGTCATTCATCATTTCCTTGACAATTTCATCTCTTTCTCATCCTCTTCTCTGACCACCACCACCACCACCGTTCAGCTCTGACCGCCGCCACCACCACCAACATTCAGCTCCGACCGCCGCCGCCACCACCAATGTTCAGCTCTAACCGCCGGCTTTCTACTCTTTTCCTTCTTTTTTCGATTTATCACCACAGTCAAAGCATAAAGTTGAGGTTTTTATGGTCAAATTTGACCATGAAAACTCCAGATCTAGAGTTTTCATGGTCAAATTTGACCAAATAAAGCCATAATTGATGGTGTGAAGGTAACGAATTGCCCTTATAATCTTTTTTGTTCATATTTTAAGGGTGGGTCGTGGTGGTTCGATGAGAGAGGTGGTTGGATTGTGGTGGTTTCGTGGAGAAAGCTGGGTGGGTGTGGTGGCCTGGGTTTGGTAAGAAGTGGGTGGGTCGTGGTGGTTTCAAGGAGAGAGAGTGGGTGTGGTGGGTTCGGTGAGAGAGGGTGGGTGGGTTTGGTGGTTTCAGGGAGAAAGGGAGGGTCGTACTGGTGGTTTCGGGAAGAAGGAGGGTGAGTGCAGGTGGTAGCGTGGTGAATGGTGGCGGCTGGTGGTTGGTGTCAGTGAGAAAGTGGGTAATCATGGTAGGCTGGTGGTTGTCCTTCATTTAGTAATTATCTCATTTTCTCTCTCCTTCCCTTAATCACATACCCATTGTTTTCTTTAACACCCATTAAGAAAATTTGACTTGGGAAAGTGCGACTAATTTTGTTGCACAAAATAAGAAACGGGGTTAGTATAATGTTTGTGTTAATAGGAAACAACAATAATAATGGTTAAATGTCGCATTTTATATTTCAATAGATAAAAATAAAAATATTACTAATTAATATATTTAATACTACAAGCAACTGTCAAGCATGTCTAAATTATTGTAAATTGGTCATTAGAAATGCTAATTAACAAAAGTACTTTAATAATATAAAAATAAAAATCAGATAAAAAGGGAGGCCACTACACATTCGTCAAGGAAGATTGAATTGTTTCCAATTTTTTTAATAGGAATTATTTTCCTTGTGATATTTTTCAAACTATGTAACCAAGGTTTGCCTAAACTAGAATGAGAGCCATTTATTGGACGTACTCAAACTTCTGAAAGCATTCATCATGAAAGCAATGAAGTACATACAAATTATCAGAAAAAAACAATACATGTTAAATAAAAATTCTCAGAGAGAGAGAGAAATCAACATTATTACCTGTTCAGCACTAGCCATGGAACCATGGCAAGCAAGCAACAAAACCCTGTTCGGATCTCCAAGCAAAGGATGAGCTTGGAGCTGGTCCTTCAAAGAATTAATGTCCTCCCAACCAGTCATAAAAACTAAGACCGCACCAGGTCTTTCATTCTTACATATATGGGATAGTACGTGCTCAATGAGATTAAAACCAATCGAATCTGGGTTCCAGCAGGACAATGAATCTTGAGTACGATGACTATACCCATTATAATCAGCAGCTTCTAGTGTATCCTGCCCCATGTTCAGTATAAAATATAACTTCAGCACAAAATTAATTGGTAAAAGAATGCTGTCTAGAAATGGCACAAGAATCTTCCATACCTCTACTGCTGATGCAATTTGTGTCTTTCTCTTCCTCATGGTTTGTTTCTGCATTTTCCATACCTTTTCTTGACCATAATCATCAATCTGATTATAGGGGGTCAACCTATATCCTGTAGTTTCCAAGATATTCTCCAGATAGTGTGCTCGTACAGGAAATGTGAAACCCTGAAAATTATTTATTAATGAGAGTTCATGAGCTTAAATCTTCTCCACCATCTCATCCTTTCATATTGACATGGTGATGCTTCCTCCTTCATCAGCAAAACTCACAAGGCTGATACAAATATTTAACTTTTGCTAGACATAAGCAATCATAAGTTAATTTTAAAGTTCTGTCAATCACTTCTAAATCTGTAATAAGCATATGGTTTCAAGCCATTACTACAACTAGATTAAAGACCAATACACCTATCACTCCATAGCAACTTTGTCACTGGATTTAGGGGGCTTTTGTTTAGGGGTATTCCGGAAAGGGTAAGAGAATTAATAATCAATAAGGATCATTCCCTAAGTTGTTTGTTTGGTCTATTTTGCCATTCCCTTTCCCCTTCCCCCAAAGTCCTCCACAGCCATTCCCCAATCCATCTTAAGGATTCACTAACCGTTTCACTCCTCTACCCATGCTCACCTTGACCCACAGTTGACCACCTCCTTGACCACTAAACCCCTCACATCAACCCTCAACCAACATCCCAACGTCTACTGTCTCCGACCCCTCCACAGCAACCACCTGCCACCACCACTTACTTAAACACCACAAAACCTACACAGCCACTGATGAAAACCCACCAAACCACCACAAAACCCACACAGGTACCACCCACAACCAATCAAACCTCAACAAACACCACCCAACCAACCACCTTGAAAAACTACCCACCACTCGAAAACCACCCACCTAAACACTAGCCCATACCTACAAAAACCCTACCCACCCATCAAAAAAACAACTGGAAACCCAATGACCAACCTCTACCCTCAAAAATCTAGCCACCACCCACGAAAACCCTCATGGAACCTACGAAAACCCTACTTAGCCGGCCGAAAACCATCCCCTGTCCAACCTTGAAATTAGATCCGAGAAAAAGAGAGAGAGAAAGAGAAATCATCAAAGGGGCCAGTCTGCCGCCAAAGATAGAGGGATGAGGTGGCCTGATCCATTGAAGTTGCTGGGGTGATCCCGTAGACTATGGGATGGTGGTCGTTGAATTATTTTATCATGTTGTAGCTGTTGTTGTTAGCTCTATAATGAAGGGATGGTGAATTAATGAGGGTAACTTTCATTTCCTTCTCCTTTCTTATATTCACTGAAACATCAAAGGTTTGGGACTTTTTCATTCTATTCTCCTTATTCCCCTTTCTTTTTCCCTTATCCCTTCCCTTTTGAAAAATAGCCCCTTAGTCATTAACTTTTCAGCGAATCATATCACATCTAGCATGTAGCATGTTCAACCGAACATTTTTGCATAGATTTAAGACAGGGCCCTAATTAATTATATTTTATTTGTTGTCTTTTTCAAGAGTTTTGTTAGGTAGGAGAATACCACTGCATGCATTAGACTGTAATTTTCTTCAGTTAGAGAACAGCTACCCTCTTCTATCACCAAGCTAAAACAATCATTTTTTTGACACAGAAGATAGTACATTTTCACACTTGTAATTTTTGCGAGAAAAAAGGACTTCAGGGGTGCATTCTTTTTATTTGAGTACTTAAGGTAAAGGTAAACTATCATGAAGAGCATGAACCAATCCATATATATAGAGCAGATGAGAAAAGAACAGTAAATTACAGTGAAAAAAAGATAGAGCCTAACCAAAAGATGGCAGGTGGGTGGATATAACGTTAATATTGATTAGGCCAACTTAATGAGATAATTTTCTTGCTCATACCATTTAGGTACATCAAGATAAGCCAGAAAAAAATAGCAATATACATTATAAATAGTTGCTGACAGAAGAATAATAAAGGAGAAAAGCAACATAAATTACTAAACTAAAAAAGGATAAAAATACTTTATTCAAAATACTTGTAGCCAAGCTTCTTGGCATACATCTTAAGAAAGATAATAGAAAGGGTTAATGGACATTATTAATGGAAATATTTTATCACCTTAACAACCCAACCCAACCCTCTTACCGATGATGTTTGAGGTAATTTGATTAAATAGTCCATTTGCCCTTTGTGCTCTCTTATATAATTGTGTGCCAAAAAGCTTGATTTAAGAATTTTGGAATAGGTAATTATACCAAAATATTTCAAACAATCCCTAGTAAAAAAGAAAGTCAATACATAAAGCGCTTCTTTAAATCCATAAACTTACAGGAATATGTAGCATAGGAGCTCCACCAAAGTAAGAGGAAAATAGCTCAGCATTCAGGGTTGCGCTCATCAAAATCAGCCTCAAATCTGGCCGGCGTGGTAGAAGATCTTTCAAGACAATCAGGAGAAAATCTGGCAAAGTTTGCAACAGTAAGACTTTCCTTGTTCTGCTACAGATGAATTAAAAAGGGAAAACTGCTAGCATTACCTTCATTCATGCCACGTTCATGAATTTCATCAACAATGACATGGGTCACACCCCTTAAATTTCTGTCAACAAGCAGTCTCCTCAACAGTATACCAGTAGTACAGAAGAGGAGACCTGTATCCCTTCCTTTAATGCCCTCCAATCTAATTTTGTAGCCAACCTGTCATTGGAATGAGAATAAAATCACTTGCTACAGAAATTGGCCACATTCTTATAGAGCTATACAGATATTAAGGTCAGAGTACCAAGTGGAATGAGAATTAAAAATAATAGAAACTCACTGATTCTCCAAGTTGTTCCCCTCGTTCAGCAGCAACCCTCTCTGAAACAGCCATAGCTGATATTCTTCTCGGTTGTGTACAGATGAGGCTACAACTAGCTCCACGAGCAGCTTCAATTTCAGACTCTAAAATGTATTGAGGAAGTTGAGTTGTTTTACCACAACCAGTTTCACCAGAGACAACTACTACCTGAAATTTTTTATTTGGAGACAAAATTTCGAAGGCATATCAGGACCAAATTAAGATAATGTTAATACATATACGAGTATGAGCAATTGAGCACAAACAGGAATCCATTTAAATCAGCAAAAACAAATGCAAATTAGCAATTTGTAAACAAAGCACTGACTCCATCAAAAAAACTAAAGATAAAGAGCTGATGAAGCCATTGGTTGTACACAGGTTAATCAACTTCCTCAACTAAACCAACTTCCTCTGTAAAGAGGGGGTGGTGCTGACAGTAAATTCTACACAGAACCGCTATCATGCACAGTTATTTTGATTACAAAAATAGAACAACATTCCTTTAGTGAAGTTTTTTTTATCTTCTATTAAAATAAGGTGTTGTCACCACTAAGCATAACAGTTGTTTACTAGTTATAAGGTGAGCATGAAGTATTATAATATTAAAAAGATGCTGATAACATAAGTTCCAAAGAGATAGGACAAATAATCTGCAGAAGAGATTTGAAGCATTTTGTCTATGTTCAACATAGCAGCTATTGAACAGTTTTGCATATATCTGGGTCCCCCTACTTTGCTCCCCTTGAAACCCTCATTGACAAAATTTGATAAATGGTATGCTGGTACAGAGTTTAGAACAACGCTTTCAATGCCAACAATAAATAAAGCCTTTAATGTCTTGTCACTAACTTGAACTCTAAACATGGTATTAAAGAGAGCAACACCTAATAAGACTTATTAACTAATGATGAATAGAAACCTGATTTTCTGAGATAGCCTTCAATAAAGCATCCCTCTCTTTGTATGCAGGTAGACTTCTTCGAGATTCTAGCATCTTCAGACCCTCCGATGATTCCTACACCAAAAAAATCATCATCATTACTCAAAATAATCCATTAACAAAAAAAAACAAGAAGAAAAATATGTAACCACTCAAAATGCAAGAGTTTGACACAGGATGGAGGGAAGATTCAAGGGCTATCTGAGCATCTTCCGTCTGTTTCAGAGATGGGTCAGATGATTTTGACTTTTGAGACTAACAAAGCAAGACTTTTGTAACAGATCATTTAATCATTCAAGGCAAGGGGAAAAGTTGAATAAATTTAAGAACATGATTGGAATAAAAAACAATTAGAAAAAGCCAGATATTCCCAAAAAAAAAGATAAAAAGAAAGAGACAGATATGAATTTCACTCTAAACTACATATGCCCTGATGTTGTTTGGGTATATGACGTCCCCCCATTACGCAAACGGAATTTGTGGGTTCCGAAACGCAACTCAACTTGATGAACCATGCAACCCATTTCAACAATCCGATGACCTATTCATTGAGGGTTATTTGCTTAGAATTTATTTTTGTTCACGAGCATTCCCGGTTCCCTATAGGTAGCGTTCCATGATCCTGAACCCATGCCACAAATTTCATTGTACCACATATCATGTGACATTGCGCCAAGACACATCTCAAAGTAGCTTTGGATATGAAGATTTTGCATGTCATTTGGCCATGAAGTGAGATATAATATACTTCCTCGGTTTTTTTTTTTTAGTTGTACCATTTTGACTTGGAACATTTGCCAACACACAACTTTGAAAATCATTAAATTAGATGTTATACAATTAAAAAATGATAAAAATTAATTTTATGAAAAAACATATAGAGATGAACATAAGATCTCATGCAGTTATATTTTTCCATCATGTATAAATAGCTAAAGATGGTCAAAGCATAGGATCACAACAGTGCAAAAGGTGAATATGCTATAAGTCATACATCTACTTGATGCGATGAAGAGTGCTATTAAGACACAGGAGCTAGAGCACAAGCTCCATCTATTTGGGGCAGTTTGAAAATTCAGATTTGCACTTAACAACTGAATTCATCAGAACCTTAAAGCATAATCTATATGTAAAGCAGGTAGCTCAGCAGATTAGCAAAAAAATGAAAATCTATGTAGGATCTACATCATAATAAAGTCTTGGTGCCAAACTGCCAATTGTGATTGTGGAACCAGTAATACTTTCTAAAAATTTATACTTTGTAAAATATGAGTATATTTCAGCATAATCTGTTTTGTAAAACTCATAGGCAGGTTCGCAACTTCTTATGAAAATATCCCATTTTCATACCAAAATAAGGGGTATTGCATTAAGAGAAAGGGATGAGGGTTATGAGGCAGCTAAGCATTGGATCAACTTGAACTAGATAATATGTTGTCAACATTTAATGACAAAGGAAACTAATGCTGCAATAACACTCAATTCAAGTTGTTTTTTTCCTTTCTCACACCTCTCTATTCTCACTCCTCTCTATTCTGCTACGAATTAAGTGTTCTCAGCAATGCAGTAAATGGACAATAAAATGCAACAGACAATAATGCAATTACGGGAAACTTAATAACTTGTATTAGATGATCAGTGAAATCACACTAATTACAAACTTATCACTCTTCTGTCTTCTCTTCTAGGGGTGATATTCCTTCCAGTAGAATTTTCTCTCTGTACAATCAGCATGCCCTCACTGTTGCTCTCTCTCCCTAATTATACAGCAGCTCTCCTCTGCCTTGCTGCAAAATATTCCTTTTAACAAACTATAAACTGATTATCACACATCCATCCTTCTATTATAAACCAACTAATTTCTTTTATGCTTTTACCTTTTTCCATACTTTATGCTTTTACCTTTATTTATACTCTATGCTTTTACCATTCAATTCTTGGGGACACTTTCAGGAATAGACTGAATTATGGGGAACTTGGGTTTATTTGTAGCAAATCCCCCTGTTCTTCACCTTTCAAGCCCATGATCTGTCACATTGCCACATCAATGGCACATGGAATGTAACTAGATTCTCACCCAAAATGACAGCTATATAATGTATGAAATGCTAAAAAAGACTTGCACGACAATCACAGATACTACCAAAAGTTTGTAAAAATATTGAAAAATAACCTGCCACTCTCGCTGCTGAATCCGGAGTCGCAAACTTTTCTCCCGAAGCATTTTCTCTTTTGCAGCAATCATCTGCACTGTGGGTTCAGGATGGTTGTATCCCAGCTTACCCAGACTGGAAGTATTTCTTGACATGGAAAAATTTTGAAAAGCCTCTTTATTAAGGGAATTTTCAGACAGGTGCCTCTTCAGAAGAATATCTACATCCTTTTGCAGATCGTAACTAAGTACCACCTGTGTGACACCAACATTATTAAAAAGATGGTCTTCCTATCTATACAACTATCTAGAGCAACGAAATTTTCAAACTTTTCTTGCAGAGAGAAACACACGTAACAGAAGATACAAGAATGCCACATTACCTCCCTTTGTGGCCGCTTATCATCCAGGTCATGGCGATAATTTGCCAAGGGAACTTTACTAAATACAACCACTTTGGAATATTGACGGCTGCCAGATGAAGTTATTTGTCATTATAAGTCACAAGGACAATAAAAGCAGGTGAGGAAAAATTATTATAACCAATTGGTGATACCTGTGCAAACCCATTCTGGTTGCCATTGCAGAAAGTTGGTCAAAGTCACGTCTGTCCTTTCTCTCTCTAGACACCACTTCTTGTTCATCTTTATTTCGAAGAAGCATGGACAATTTCCATCTCCACTCGTCAATGTTGTCAAGTGTTGAAGATTGCTGAGAGCAAGCCCTGTGTTAGTGTGTAACATCCAAGATTTTTGGTTCATTCAAAAAGTAGCAATAAACAAAAAATGTTTAACAGACATGAGACCCAAATCAGGAGCTTTTGAGAAAACAACAATTCATGTTGTAATACCCCTTTTCAAACTTACCAAGAGAGGTGTTCATAAGGGACTAGTCAAAAAGAGAGGAGAATAATAAAAAAGAACTTAATCTGAAAATAGTAAAAATTAATACACAAAATTACTTTCTGTGTACCCCTTCCCATTAAACAACAAGTAAACAGATAGGGACTTTCATGTTTACCTAAAATACCAAATTAAACAATTACCTTTACCCTACAAATTAACTGCTTTTTTTCTGGAGGAAGGCCATGGACACGGTTCCCTCAAAACACTAGAAAGAATAAACCGTAAAACAATAGCTAACACCTCTCTTCTGCTTACCCCATGTGCCCCATTATCGGGCTCTTAGCTTCAACAATACTCCTGCCAAAGTGTCATTTCAAGCCTTTTCTAACCTCCTTCAATTTCTACTTCAGCTTCTCCATAAATGTACATTCTCCGAAGCAACAATTTGCCGAATTATTCTCCAGCTCAAGTGACACATGTATAACGCCTCCTTACTTCCAAAGTGTATCATATTCATCCACATTTAAGAATACTATGGATTCTCATACTGCTGCTTTGCTTTTGCCTTTTTTTTTTCCTAGATTATTTCATTTCAAATTTTCTTGGATTATTAGGGCCCTGTTTGGTTTGATGTAAAATGATTTTCCCATTTTCCTTTGTTTGGTTTGTGAAGGTGTGGAAAACAGTTTTCCCATGGTGGAAAATTGCATTCTTAATGATGAAAAACATTTTCCTTTACAAAACAAGGGAAGCCACATTTTACTCCATCCTCATTACCTCCTTTTTACTTCCCTCACATTCCCACTCATATTTTTTGACATTTCTTGAACTTTTCTTGTATGCAACCAAACAAAAGAAAACTAATTTGCAATTGTGCTTTTCCTTGAAAATATTTTTTTCCATGAAAACTAAATTTTCATTGAAAATGTTTTACATCAAACCAAAAGAAGGCCTAGGTAGTGATTAGGGGATTTTTATCCACCAAGCGCCGTTTGACAAGTGGACCAACCAGGTTCCGCCACGCGTCCTCCATGGACCACTTAAGACACGCCACGTGTCCACCCATGCCGAATGGGACAACCGGCCATCAAGGCCCATTTCAGTCTAGAAGCCCGATCGGCCCTAGGTTTACCTTAAACCTAGAGAGTTGCACGCTTCCCAAGGCTATAAATACTCGATTAATCCTCATTAATCAAGGAACCGAATACATTACGGAACACACTAATAACCGGCTGATCTCGCTAGCAAAGCAGATTACCTACATTAAATACTCTCACCTAGAGAGACCTAATTACTTTAATTTCTGTATTAACTACTCCTTAATCAGGTACTAACTTGACCGTTGGAGGCGGAGCTCTCAGGAGTCTCCGTTATTTTGCAGGTACAGGCGTCCGGTTCCAGTCTCGGAATTGTAACTCTCCCGCAGGACATCAGAAAACCCCGAAACATTTGGCGCCGTCTGTGGGGAGAGTACTTCAGAGATGGCATCCAAGTCTGTACCGACCCCAGAAGAGAGGCGTCCCCTAGACGACCCTCAAGTTCAGTCGGACCATGATACCGAAAGTGAATTTGAAGTTGAAACTCATACAGCTCCAGACGGGACCCTAAGGCCCGCCGTACCCGTCATACTGAAATAAGGGAACGGGAGTATCTTCAAACAGGAAGCGAGCCAGCAGGCGCACCGCTTGCTTGGCAACAGCCGACTGATGGGTCTGCTCCGATCACAAGGAACGAACTCATGACCTTCATGAGGGGATTCAAGGGAGAGATCCAAGAGTTGATCAACAAAAAACCGCCTGCTTCAGTCAAAGAGCAGGCGGCCAAAAAACCTTCCACTTCACTGAAGAGGAAGCCAGTTCAAGGCGAGAGGCGACTCCCCATCCTAAATCTAAGAAGCGGGAGCCGTCTGCTCTTGATTTCACAAAACTCCGTTATCCTACGGGAAATAGGAAACCGGTTCGTCATATTCAGGCGGACGGGTCAAGGCAAACGTTCACAGATGCTCGGCACCTGCTAGAGCAGAAGAAGAGTGACCGATTATCAGAGTCGGCTTCTACTTCAAATTTTCAGGACAGTTTGCGAAATGCCTCGATGAGGCCAACTCAGTCGTACCATGAGGCCAACTAAGGCCCGCCGTACCCGTCATACTGAAATAAGGGAACGGGAGTATCTTCAAACAGGAAGCGAGCCAGCAGGCGCACCGCTTGCTTGGCAACAGCCGACTGATGGGTCTGCTCCGATCACAAGGAACGAACTCATGACCTTCATGAGGGGATTCAAGGGAGAGATCCAAGAGTTGATCAACAAAAAAACCGCCTGCTTCAGTCAAAGAGCAGGCGGCCAAAAAACCTTCCACTTCACTGAAGAGGAAGCCAGTTCAAGGGCGAGAGGCGACTCCCCATCCTAAATCTAAGAAGCGGGAGCCGTCTGCTCTTGATTTCACAAAACTCCGTTATCCTACGGGAAATAGGAAACCGGTTCGTCATATTCAGGCGGACGGGTCAAGGCAAACGTTCACAGATGCTCGGCACCTGCTAGAGCAGAAGAAGAGTGACCGATTATCAGAGTCGGCTTCTACTTCAAATTTTCAGGACAGTTTGCGAAATGCCTCGATGAGGCCAACTCAGTCGTACCATGAGAGTCAGTCAGGCGGCACCTCCCGTCAGTCTGGCTTTCATAGTGCGCAGGCGGTACCAAATTTGCCATTTGTGCCGCAACAACAATATTTTATGCAGCCACCTCCATTTGGTGGACCTGCAGCAAAAAACGTCCAACCTATGGACTGGCAGCTACGGCTGCTTAGACTTGGTGAACAGCCGTCGGCCTTCTCCAAGGAAATTACTGAAGCCGCTCAGCCGGCCAAAGTAAAAAAATGTTTTAGTAGGCGCCTATGATGGCACTACTAACCCGGAAGACCATCTGATGGCATTCACCAACCTGATGTACCTTCAAGGGTTGGATGATCCCACTTGGTGCAAGTGTTTCCCAGCAACTCTCAAGGGAATTGCACAGCAATGGTTCGGCAACCTGCCGACTGGTTGTGTAAACAGTTTCAGGACGCTTGCTTACTTATTTGCCTCCAACTTTGCAATGAACATCCCTGCGAAGAAAACGACCCTTGATTTGGGAACAATTCAGCAGGGTGAAAAGGAGGGGCTTCGTTCCTACATCAGGCGGTTCAACCTGATGAGAATACAGATTCAAGGTTACCGGATGAGTAGCTTATACTGACTTTTTTTTTTGGGAAAGTTTCCTTATTGTTTTGTTTTTACGTTAGCAAGGTTATCAATCTTTGAAACCGGTAACTCGAGGGGCAACCCCCTAATACTCTAGAACAAGATAGAGTATTTAACTTGTTGGTAAAGAGTAATATTTACCTCAATAAGTTTGTTGGTGACCACATGGGAGAACACTAAACTTAATCCATTAACTTTGTTAATTTGGAAGTTTTTCCATGGCTCCTAAGCATTCAACACGTAAAGGAAACACTCAGGAAGATGTTAATTTGTCTGAACACAATCTTGAGACTATTTTAGAGGATCAACCAGATCTAGAAAATCAACTGCCAACAGAACATATGGCACACTCTTTTGAACCATTCGAGCCTCACATACAAAGGCAAGATGTATCGGTTTTAGAAAGAGTAGTAAGCAATCTCCCACTAGACACTTACTCAATACAATTGACACTAAATATGTGGATATTGTGAAGAGTCTGAGGGAAGATCTAAAAGAAAATAATAGAGAGCAGTTTGATAACTACTATCGTGTCATGGTGGAAGAAACCACCAGAGTGGTAACAATCGAGTTGAGAAACTTTGACTCTATTACCCAACAAGCGGTTACCAGGCAAGTATATAGAATTATTCTAGATATTAATGATACTTTGAACGCTACTAACGTGGCATTATCAAAGAGTGTAGCAACCAAAGTAGTTACAAGACTTCAACCTTTAGTATAGAAACATAGCCAACTTAATGAGAAGTTGTTGAATGTTTTAACCGCTTTAGGTAGTGGGAATACTGAAGTAAATCAAAGGGATAACGTCCCTCTGGGATATCCTAAAGCAGAGAATATGACAAGATCTCATCCAAATCCGCCCACTTTGTCAGTTCCAAGAAGTATCCCTCATATTGGTTCTGATGAGGGGTATAGGAGTCAAGGGAGAGTTAATTATTTAGGGCCAGGTTATGAGTCAGGCTATAACCATAATGGCCAGGGTCCATCTTCTTCCTCCTTGCCTCCACCTGCTACCACATACCCATTTTTTCGGGGTTTTCTGTGTCCCTCGAGAGAGTTACAACACCAAGACTGGACTCTGAGCGCCTGTACCTGCAAAACAACGGAGACTCCGGTTGGGTGGAGTTCTGCCTCCGACGATCAAGTTAGAACGCGTATGGAGTATGTAAAAAGTGCAGAAGGTAAGGTAGGATCCTCTCGAATTTCGAGATCAGGTTTCTCTGTGGTGAATATTAATTATCCAGCAATCATTGACTGCCTCAATATCTAAGTTAATCTCTCTTATGTTTTTTTATTAATTAATTAATTGTGTTTCCTAGGTGGAAACATCTCCCTTTTATAGGATCTTGGGACTCGTGCCCCCTAGGTTATGGAAACCTAGGTCCAACAGGCTACCTCGGAATTTGGGCCTTGAAGCCCACCAAACCCATTTGGAATATCTGCCTACCACGTGTCGAGCCCTGGTAGGTCCACTTTGGGCTCTCCCTTGGGTGACACATGTCAGACTCTGGTTGGTCCACGTGGCGGGGTAAAATTACCCAAATCATTTGCCCCTCACAGGGGTGACATGGCGTGCCACGTGGCACCTATGACAAGTGTCACATGCGGACGGGTGAATTGTATGTTACCGTTTACCTTCTGGAGTAAAGGTCAGGGGTGCTCCTGAAATTTCTACCCCTCTATATAAGGATATTTACCTCCTTCATTTTCGCATATTCACGAAAAAAATTTCAGACAAGGAATCTTTAACTTTTGAAAGAATTTGATTTGTTTCTGAGAAAAGCACACCTGCCGGCTGCAGCTTGTCCGTCTGTTATTACAACCGTCCAAGACTTTTTCAAGCGTCTACAGTACCTTCAGATCTAAGGTAACCGCCTGCTTTTCTTTCTTATTTTAATTTTTCTTTTTTCCTTTTTGTAAATGGTTTCCCAAAAGCACACGGCACGGCCTAGGTAGTGATCAGCCGGTCACCGAGGACGGCTGAATATAGAACTAGGAGTGCTGACTTCCCCTTCTTGGACTACCCTTTGCAAACTTCCCCAAATCCGACTGTCTCTGTGTCTGTGTAGGACACCATGGCCAGAATTAAACAAACATCCAAGCAGCAAAATCCAGACGGCCCCTTTAAGGCGCCTGTTAGTGAACTTTCTGATCTGCCGCCTGGCACCCTAAGTACCCCTAATGATTCAATTTTGCAAGAACCAGGGGAAGAGTTAGAGAGGGATGCCTCTGGCTCTATTGACCAGGCCCCTTAAGCGGACAATAGGTCCGACAGCTCGGACAATGAGTCCGAGCCGTGTACTTCTGGTAGAGTCTCTGTGGACTCTGATGAAAAGCGCTCTTGGCTGGAGATAGCGAGAGAGTCTCTCTCCGTAGAAATGCGCAAGGGATGGGCTGAGCCATCTGCCAACCGCAGAGAGCAGTTTGCTGCTTATTATCATCATGTTCTCGCGGGCAGGCGGAAGACAATGACTAACAAAGTGGGGAAATTCATAGCTGACCATGTCATGGGACATGGCTTTATAATATGTGTCCCGGATGGTGAGGACACCGTAGTCTGGCCAGAAGGGTCAAGCTACGGGGACGGATGCTTTGGTTGTTATGAAGCAGCCATTCAAGCTGGTCTCAGATTCCCACTCCATCCGGCCGTGGAGAAAATTTTAGATGGGTACCAGCTAGGTATCTGGCAACTTGCCCCCAACTCTTGGGTGAATATTCTGGGGTTTGTTGCCGCCTGTGAGATGTTGGAGGTAGAGCCAAGTTTTGAGGCTTTTGCCTAGATGCACTACCTCAGCCAGACTCCAAAAGCAAGCGGGTTTGGATGGTACACCCTTTCAAACCACAAAGGCTATATGATGCCTGTTGGGAAGGAGTCCAAGTGGAAGGACTAGAGAAACAAATTCTACATTATCTCCTCCCCTGACCAGATGAAGAACAAAAAATATAACCGGTGGAACCGGAACCCCCCTTCTGCTCTCAGGCGGAGCTGAATTACCACTTGTCCCAAGAAAGGCCAGAGAGCAGATCTTGAACAAGGGTCTCTTCAAAGTGACCATTCCTAACCAAATCATCTGAAATCATCTGAAGGCCACCTAAAAGAACAAATGCCTTCATCCTCCTCATTGTGCATAATAATGAGTCATACAAATACTACTCAAAGTTATAAACCAATACTCAACTTCATTGACATACCAGGAACTAACACACATTCCTAACCAAATCAACTAGTCAAGCACTATATTCACAAGTAGTTGGACAAAATTGACTCATGTTAAGACATCAAAGCAATCAAACATCAAATCATGGCTAACCTATCCACAATACTCATCATCATATACCAAGAATCAAAACAATTTTCATGTATGGGGCACAGGGAAGCATGATTTATCGTTCATTGGAACGTATTTTTGTATTTTTTTTATATTTTGAAAGCATTAAATCTTAATACTAATCTAAACACACTAAAAGAAAAAAAAATTAAAAAATTAAAGAGAGAGGGTGAAAGATATACCATGCGTACACGAGAACCTCCCCCCAAGCTAAATCAGACAATGTCCTCATTGTCTTAAAGGGAAGCTAGTAGTCAAGGTGACTACTCCTCATCATCATCACCAAAATAATGTCTCCAAAGCCTCGAGGATTGCAATGCATCTCTTTGGAACAAATTTGAGCAAGAATGAAACAAAGTGTTAGTGGGAAAAAGATAGAAATTGAGTCATGTGCACTATTCTAATCATAACTTTTGATGTATAAATGATAATGCAGTGATTTTAATTTGGTTGGAAAGAAGACTTGAAGAGCTTTCCAAAGATAGGTCACACATAAAAATCTAGTAAGTAACGAGAAAGTTATGGCCTGTCGAACTAGAGTAGTTTTGTTGATCCGTGCGCGCGCCCGATCGGGCGAGCTCTGCCCGATCGAACTCGAATACAATCCAGATTTCTTCTCCTTTTAAATCAACAACTTTCTAGATCAAAACCTACACAAATAGAAACTCCCACAAGCATAAGATATTCTCTCCTTACCTCTCTAAAATAAAACAAACGAAAACACAAAAAAAAAAGAAAAGACTAAAATAAAAAACAATAAAATACGGATTGCCTCCTGCAAGGCGCTAGTTTATCAAGGTCCCGCTCGACCGTACTCCATCCCTCCTCAATCGGAATAATTCAACGCCTTGAGTAACTTATCAAACGCTCCTGCAAACATTTCATTAAGCACTAGATAGGGCTTAATTGCAAGCACAATTATCTTTACATAGAATATATTAGGAGCACATAAAGAAAACTCAAGGTAAAAAGAAAAATCAAAAGAAAGAGATGAAAATATACCACAACCTTCTACTTCCTCCGCTAAAAATTTAGAATTAATAGAACGAACATGGAGGTAGTCTTTGTCTTTATCATCCAATATCGACTTGAATATTTTACCCTCATGAATAACCTCATCATTAACAAAGGAATTTTCAACCACCGTTTCTACAACTAATGATTTTTCAATCAACGATTCGTCAACCAATGATTTTTCAACCACAAATTCTATAACCGATGGTTCTTCATCCTCAATCACATTCATATTATTATAGTGTCCATAGACTCTTTCATCAAGAGCCTTCCAATAACTCTCATTTGCAACCAATCGTTTCTGAATATGATCATATGTAAATGAAAAGACTCTAAAATCATCCGGATCACGCACGAAAAAACTCACTATAAGGGCATTCAGGATTTTCATGACAAAGACGATATTGACAACAACAGTAGTCAGGTTCTGCATAAAACGAATATAATTCTTGTAGTGGCGTAAGCATGGATATTTTCAACTCGTAAAAAGAATAAAATAAAATAAAATAAATAATCTAGACTCTAATAATAATTAGAAATAAAAATAAAACCATTTCCCCGGCAACGGCGCCAAATTTTGACAGGTTCTAGTCGTATCACCTAATCAAAAGAAATTCCTAAGTCCTCTAACTAAAACATATAGGGAAGTAGGGTCGAATCCACAGGGAAACAGTGTTATTTTATTCCTAACCAATAATTATAATCTAAATTATTAAGTAACCAAATTGTATTTGAAGGAATTAAACTAATAATTAAAGCTAAGCAAATTAAACAAAGGAATAATCAATAATAAAAGCTCTAGGGTATAGGTTCACAAATAAATAATATTCCAGGGTAAAACATAACAATCAATCATCAATGCATAAATTAATCAGATTATAAAGGGATGTCGCTACGTATTATAATCACATAATCAATCTACTGATATTAAATCTCATCTCTCGAATCTCGACCTAACCATTAATAGATTAACATGCCTATTGAAACTAAGCCTAAACATCAATTCTCATCTCTCGAATTTCGAATCAATATTGCAAAACTCATACAATTAAACCTGCGCAAATCTAATTGCATAGCATTAAATCAATCAATAGGAAATTAATCAATCATTAATAAAAAACAATAATAATTTACCCCTTCGTATTATTCATGGATCCCCACAACCTTAGAATAGAAATCTACTCTGACATAATTGAATCTAAACTAGACATGATAATCAAAGAATGCATGAAAATAACAAATTAACGGAAAATAAAGTAAGTAAGAAATCGTACCAAGAATTAACGGAAAATATGGAATTTATTGATCAAAAGGTTTAGAGAGAGAAAGTACTCAAGAACAATGAAAAGCTGAAAATCTAATCTTCAAGAAAATAATACTAGCTAATACTAATGAAACGTAAAAAAGCGTGCTTAATTATTCACTAAAAATCGTATTTATACTCCTACTAAAAATAAACCAAAGATAAAAATTACAAAAAGAATAAATAAAAATTCCCTTCAGAAACACGCGCCCGGTCGGGCGCGCCTTTTGTGTGTCATGAAGCTTCCTCGCGCCCGGTCGGGCGCGTATCCGGGCGAAGCGTGCCCGGACCTTCTCCTCTCGCCCGGCCGGGCGCGCCTCAGGGCGAGGGCACTGCCCGGTCGGGCGGATGCTTGGGCTTACTCTTCTTCGTCCTTTGGGCCTTGTTACCTTAGCCCAATTCGTCATCCTTCTTGGATCGAATTGCCCAAACTTCAAATCTCCTCATTGAGCCCTTAATCACCGGATTGAGCCCAAGGGAGAAGGCGGCCGCTGAAGGTATTACAAGTTTTAACCCTTTGCCCTACCCTTGTAGGGTCAAGTTCAATCAACAGTTGACAAGCACTTCTGAAGACAGCCGATCTATTGGCCGAATTTACGTCAACTACTTACAAAGTGTTGAATGAGCAGATGTCCCCCAAAGGCCAGATATTCAACAGTTGGCAAAGACCATGCTGAGGGCCATCTCTCTCGAGGACAAGGAGTCTGTTAGAGGAATTGGCTCCCTCAACTTTGATGCCCTCCTTGCTGAGGTGCATTAACTTGTTATTTTTCTTTTTTGTGCAACTCTTCGAGCCGCTTGATATTAATGTTTTTCCCCTTTGCTGGATGCAGGCTATGCTGCGGGTGAATGGCCTTAAAAGACCGTTCAATGAGAAGACCAAAGAGGTAAAAGCTGCGAACGCTCGGGCCGCCTCTTCTCTAGATACGGCCATGTTTGAGATTGCTCAAAATGAAAAACTGACCACTAATATACTATATTCTCAGGCAGCAGCCAATCTGCAGGTCAAGGCCAATCTGGACGCAATGAAGGGGCGAATCTCTGAGCTGGAGAAGGAGGTTAAGGACCTCAAGGCCAAGCTCGAGCCCCTCCAAGAGGTGGATGCTGAAGGAGATGGACTCCGCACCTAGGTGGAGAAACTCAAGGCAAGGCTGCAAAACCAGAAAGTCCAACTCGCTAAAAAGTATACCTCAAGGACTGAGGAGGAGAAGGAGGTCCTGATTAAGCAGATGATGGACGACTGCGACGCCATCATGTGAATGACTTGGGAGTCCCTCTTCCCGAATGCTGGCTATGACGGGTGGAAGAATCAATTTGAGGCGGCCTCCCTTGAATACAATGATAAAATTTTGAACCAAGTTCAAGAGGAAGAGGAGGAGGAGGAGTCGTCTGATTCTGCCGAGGGGTCATCCGGAGGGTCTGATCAGGAGGAGGAGCAGGAAGGTGAAAAAGACCGAGAGTCGACTGGTGAGGAAAAGGATGCGGCTGTCGACACTGAGAAGCCCCCTCCTGATGCTTAAGCTTTGTTTTTTCTGCGGCCAGATGGCCATGTATTTTCTCCGGCCTGTGTGCCGTGTATTTCTTTGTATCTTTACCGACTGTGGGGTCAAGTAATTTGTTAATTCCTCCGGTTGTACTGGTTAACTCTTTTAGTCGACCATGGGGTCGGCTAAGTTTTATTCAATGAATCATCCGGCCATATGTCCGGTTTTGTCATTTTGCACTTGCTTTAAATTGCATAGATTTAAGCTAAGTATTTAACTTGCTTTTTTCTATGAAATTTTCAATTTTTTCACTATATCAGCTGTTTTTGCCCCTGGACGGCTGTGCGCTTGGTTTTCAAAGGTAAATTAATTGACTTGGAAATTTTTTGATACTTTAGGAGTATGATTGGTTTCCAAGTCAATCAATCACTATGGTGATTGCCCCAAACTAGGCGGACAGTCGGCCATTGAGCAGGCGGGTAAGCGTTCAATATTATCCGGCCTTTAGCCTCAGCAGATTGTTTTAGACAAACAACGCTTAGCTTTTCTAAGTTTTTTGACTTAGCTTATTTTTATTATTTGGAACGTTGCCGCCTGTATTGCACCTGGGCAATATCCGGCGCTAATCGGGGTTTCCAACCAAGATAGTAGTCGTTTGTTATATTACAGGCGGTAACTTTTAGTTATCTTGGTCTCATTAATCTAAGTGGGAATAACGGCCGGATACCGGCTGATGTCAATGAGACATACAGTTTTGTTTATGCGGTTTTAGGTTCCATTTTAGATTATTCAAGTCAAACGGCTGTGAGTTACCCTTATAGGTTAATTTGTCTTTGCCGCTTGTGTTTGGGTTTATAGAGCAATGTACCACCCAAATGGGAGATGCTCTCTGCGACGAATTCACCCGAATGGGCGTCGTCGGATGTCTACTCATGTTGGAGGAGACGGGTTAATGTTTAGAAGCAGACGACCATTGATCGTATCTAGTTGCTTAAAATGTTTAGCCGCTAAGTTTTGGACTTAGCTTATTTTTTCAATAGCTGCTAAGTATTGGACTTAGCTTATTTTTTCAAATTTAGTCGTATGTATTGCCCCTGAGTAATAGCAGGTTGTATCTAACCAAGATAGTAGCTGGTTACTGTTTGTTATAAAACAAGCAGTAACCTTTGTTATCTAGGTCTCATTTGATCAATTTAAACGGCTGCGAGCTTATCCTATTCCAGACAGCGGTAAGGCTGTTTGTTTTTTAGTTTATAGAGCAATGTACCACCCAAATGGGAGATTCTCTCTGCGACAAATTCACCCGGATGGGCGTTGCCGGATGCCTACTCATGTTGGAGCAGACAATGGTTTTTAATATCATTCGACCATTGGCCTCATCAGGTTGTTCTGAAACGAACAATGCGTAGCTGCTAAGTTTTTGGACTTAGCTTACATCTACTCACGTTGGAGCAGACGTGAGTTTTTAATAAGGTCGTCTGCACATTGCACAGACTGTACTCCCATTGGGAGATGTACATCAAAGCAATAAATATCATAAAAAGAAACTTTTTATTGATGTGCTCTTTATTTACAAAAAAAATTTACAAGTCTCGGAAGTAGTACTTTTTTAAGTTATCTACATTCCAAGTTCTGGCATGTTGCCTACCGTTTGGAGTTTCCAGGCGGTAGGTGCCGCCTCCTACTTCTTCATAGATCCGGTAGGGGCCTTCTCAATTGGGAGTCAGCTTTCCCTGCTCGTTGGCCCTACCGGTTACCTCCCTTTTCCGTAGCACAAAGTCCCTTACTTTCAAGGGTTGTTTGTGTACTCTTTTTTTATAGGCTCTTGTCATTCTCAGACGGTAAATTTCATGACGTAACGCAGCATTGCCCCTGCGTTCCGGGAGTGAGTCCAATGCTAGCCGCATGGCCTCCCACTTAGCCTCTTCGGCATAAAGCATGACTCGAAGAGTCAGCTCATAATGTTCAATGGGTAAGACAGCTTCAACACCTTAAACCATGAGAAATGAGGTTTCGCCGGTTGCCCCTTTTTCAGTTGTTATGATGGCCCATAGGACATTAGGCAACTCATCCGCCCATAGACCGCCAACCCTTTCGATTTTCTTTTTAATGCCGTCTGAGATTAGCTTGTTGAAGGCTTCAACCTGGCCGTTTGCTTGGGGACGGTCGAGTGATGCAAAGCAATGAGAGATCCCTTGGTCTCCCAACCAATTCTCGAGAGCAGGCGTCTCAAATTGAGGGACATTGTCAAAGACCATAGACATAGGCACCCCAAACCGAGTGATAATATTCCTTTAGATGAATGAGATGACATCCTTTATCTTAATGCCTTTGACCGCCTCTGCTTCTATCCATTTGGTGAAGTAGTCAACAGCAACTAGAATTTATCGTCGTCCGCCTATAGCAGGTGTATACGGACCCAGAATGTCCATGCCCCATTTGGCGAATGATACTGGGCTGTGAATGGTCGTTAGATTAGTGGCCGGACGGTGTATGAGTTTGCCAAATCTTTGACAGTTATCACATTTCTTCACCATTTCCATGGCGTTTACCTCAAGAGTGGGCCAGAAGTAGCCTTGCCGCCTGACCCTCTTTGTTAGGGACCTGTCGCCTATATGGGGGGCACAGAAGCCCGAGTGCAGATCC